TCAAACCCATCGCAATTAGACCACTGAAAAACTATGTTCCTATGTAGAAGACAATATTTTCTCATTACGTGTACTATGCTTTCTTTTATTGGAAAAGGATGCAGAGATAACAGAGACTGCTGTTAACACACATGTGTTGTTGCATAGGACCTCAGGGATCAAGAACAGAATACTGATCTTACAGGTAAGAGAAGACAGGCTGGAAAAAAACTAACCTCTGCAAATTTTCAATTTGTCCAGAAGAGTCAGGGATGCGAGAAGCCAGGTCTGTTATCTCTTCAGCTAGCAGAGTCAAGCGCTCCTTCACACCCTCTGACAACATGTCACCTATAAGAAGTGCCAGAGTTATTTCACAATAATCGACGTCTAACATCTATACGCAAATGTGTTCCATTCAAGTAACCGCATTTCTACAACATCTACAGCCAATAAGACAGCCTTTTGCAGTGCTTAGAAATAAAGTTCTCCGAATCAGGCCACGCTTCCACGTACTTCAGCACTGCATCTCTTCCAGCAGCCTGTTACACATGCTCAGGGAAAAGGATAAAGAACAGGACCATTACGAAGTGACCCTTCCAGGAGAGAGCTGCTAATGCAGATATGCTGACTAAACCAAAGCCAAAAAATTGCACCCGATATCAAGGGGACAGTACTGCCACTTCTGCCATTGACAGGAAAGTAACAGTCAGCCAGTACAAAAAGGAAAGAAACTTCCCCCGCCTCTTTTTCAACCATAAGCTAGATGCATTACTTAACTTTGCTTATGAAGCACCGAACTAAACAAGACCTAAGATTTTAGAATCACTCCTCTAATCAGGTAAATAACGCTAAGCTGCTCTACAAGATGTGGGTCCTATTTATACGCCTCAACAAAAACATTACTTCGTACTATGTTGATTTTATTGTGGTCTTATTTCTTCTTAAACTACATTTTTGTCCCTGCATCAGCAGAATTAAAATTAAATCACTGAAGTGCTTCCATAAACAAACTGGAATGACAGCAAGAATTCTTCTCATCTTTGCATGCAGCAGAAACAAACAACATACCAAGACTGCATTCCTACATCACTACGGAAAATAGTTACACAGTACAGTAGCCCAGGTCATATAAGAGCCTTTACAGTCTGCTCTCTCTGAAAGTGATCTCTAATCTTCAAGAAGCCAGACCATCCTGACAAAGACACTAAGAAAAAAAAAAAACATTGGGAAATAGAATATTCATCTGCACATTGAATAAATTCCTTATGCTTGAATGTATATTTACCTCGTCTTACAGAAAATAATTTCCGGTCACTGTTATTAATATTTTTCAGTTTTTGATAGATGATGAAGCCAGCCTGCAAGAGTAAGGAACAAAATTAATACTCAGTGCTCTGCAGAGAAACAATATCTTAGAGACTAAATAAAACCCCACGAATTCAGCAAACCGTGGCATGAATACATTGTGAACATCAAATTCTGAGCTGTTGGCCCGTGCCGTACAACAGTCAACGGTCTGCCTGACTGCACTGATCCTCACAACCAGGTTATGTTTTACAGAACGATTCACAAAAAGGCAGAGTCCCAACCTGGGGTCCACCCTGGAGTGGATACTCTTCTACAGATCCCAGCACCGTTTTCTTACCAAGTTTGCTGCTAACAGAGAGCGCCAAGTGCTCCGCTCCCAGTCTCGCCATCTGCTCCAACTTACTTAGATTTTATGTAGCACTCCAGGAGAAGAGCTATAAACCTACTAAGATAGATTCTGTGTGCTTAATATTTCCCTTGATACGAATAATAAGTTCTAACAGGAAAACGCAGCCTAAAGCCAGGAATGTGCTAATTAAGCTACACATGTTAAGCAAAGCATCTTAAAGAGGAAAGAGAAAGAAACAAGTTACTCCCTCGCGTTTCCCTATGCAGCTCCAAAAGGCCGGCCAGGTCAACAGAGCACAGGGAGAAAGGGGCATTGCCTGGAAAAAGCTGGTTACAGCAGCTGCACCAGGCACCAAAAATAGAGCTCCTTTCCTTACTGGTTTGTGTCTTAGCAGATGCTAAACCCTTCATAGTTTAACACTGAACTAGAAAATATGCAGTGTTTCCCCAAGTCAGACAAAAAACCCAAACCACTCTCCCACTTCCCTTCCTCTGTCTAACCTCATCGCAGATATAAAACCCCGAGAGTATTTTATTTTGCTGCCATAAGAACAATTTTCTCCCATGAAGCAGGCAGCACCCTGCAGCATATTGGCAAATCCCTTCACAAAACTGCAGGAAAACCACACTTCTCAAAATGGCGAAAAAACAAACTTCCATAAAAAATTCCTATGCAACTACATTACTCTTCCTGGCAATCCATGCTGTGGTTCTGCTGTATCAGCCACTGGAGAGGGTTGTATTTCTTCAAAATTGCTTATTAATTTTATCCTACATATCATATTTAGCAGGATTTTGGTTCATCAGCAGCTCAAGAAACATGACCAAAGACCCCAGTAGAAAACATATCCAAAAGCGCTAACAAGCTGCCACGGATACCGGCAGACAAAGGAACCAAGAAATAAATACCCCCTCTCCAGTTGCGTAAAGATTGTTGTACTTAAAAACCACTTCAACCATGTTACACACACGTTGAATAATCACACTGCAAGAATGTAGGCATCCTCCACACAGACAGACATAAAAGTCACCTGGTTGCTCCATCAAAACTCACTTCCCTGAGGTGACAACTTGGAGTGAGTCCAAATGGACATTCACTCCTCAGGCATACTTGTTGGTACTTGGGCTACTTGTCACCTTCAGAGCACAGCTGAACTCCCAGGAGCTCTCTTTGTGAATAGACTTCAATAAAAAGGCAAATATCTCAACACCATGAAACGTTAAGAGGTAAGGACCCCATGGGAGGCTCAAGGCTGCTGTGGAACAGGGTTGGTTTCTTCCATCTACATTCGATTTTCTACACAAAACATCCTCTTCAAGTGATTGCAGCAACAAGACAGGTTACCGAGTCAGGTACAAGCAGTACCATCTTCAACACAGGAAGTGTTACGAAGCTTTAGATGAACACTCAGGTTTAAAAACTTAAGACAGACAAGGAATCAGACAGCAACGTACTTGGTGGCATTTCCACCTTTAAGCATTCCACATCCACAGGGGACCTCAGTCTTCCTACGTTCGTTATGTTCTGTGGCAGAAAAGCATTAAGAGCAGCAGCTAACAGCACATTAGAGAATTTTTTAAAACGAATAGAATGGTGATCTCTTCTTGTACGTACATAGGCATCTGTGGCTGCATACAATTTTTGCTCCTCGTTGAGTGGAAACTCTTCCCAGTTACTACAGCGGACAGACTTATCCTTCAAAAGCTGCTTGCCAAAAAGGTGTTTTACCAGACCATTCAGACTCCATATCTCCTTACACTTCAGCTGGGGAAAGAAAACAAAACAGAGGACTCGTTTACAGGGGAAACCAATAGGACCTGGCAGAACATATTCCTAGCAGTGGCAAAGTGTACTTAATCCATCATTAGAAGCAAAGAGCTCTGGGTTAGTCAGAACCAACTCGCTTCTCAAAGCGGTAACTGTTCTCCAGGCCTAGTTCTGCTCTCACCATATTAAAAAGTAGTTTGGTCATTTCAAAGCTGTACTTGCTTGCCCTGAAAGCGTATCGTTAGAGGACAGACCTACACTGTCAAGCTGGAAAGAGGGCATTAGGGACAAATGAGTCCACGCAATGTGACGGTGTATCGTCACACTACTACAAAAAAGGAAAAATCTGTATAATGTAGACTCCAGGTTGATAAAGAGCCATAGACTTAAACAGCAACCCCTCTCCCCTCCAGGATTTATCTATTTTTTACCTTTCTCTTTAGAGAAACTCAGTATCAAACACTAGGAATTTAATTAATATAAACATAGGAATATTCAAGTCTGCTTTTAAGTGTTTCGTCATCTTTCCCAAGTCCGAGTTCAGGAGGAAGCAGTTCATCAGAAGTCCCTAGAAGTCACTCCATCACACTGCTGTCTTCAATGCCTTTTGCAATCGTACTTGTCCATGACAGTTGCTACACACTACTGCCTTAATAGCCAGCGGGGGAAACTTTCCCTCAGACCCCAAGGATCCAGGACTCACGGGCATAGCCTTTTGCTATTCCAACTTGCCAGCACTTGCAAAACACGCAGAACTGTCAAGCCTAACAGTGGCAGTGTAGCATTATCAGCTCATCCCCTTACAAAAACCCTACCAACTGTTCATTTTGGGTTCCCCCAGCCCTCCCCATCACCTTGTGCCATTATATACAACCCTATTCTTCGGTCCCTCAAGCTTCACTTGCAAGTTCATTTTTGGTTTGTTTTCTCCTTAGCAGAAGACTTTAAAGCTGCTATCAGAGATGACATTGCTCATCTTCATAACAAATTATCCTGAGTCAGATGCTGGGATAAAAAAAAAAAAAAAAAGGGGGTGTGCAAACTGAGGAAAATCGAAGTCTGAAAATGAGCAGCTCCTTCTGTTGCTTCAGCAAAACAGTTTAATTTGTAAAACTTCCAATGCGCTAGGAACTGAAACTTCAAGGTGGCTCATATGGAGAGCACTGCCCCAAATGCTGACGACACATCACTCTCCCCTCTCCCCCACCGTGATTTAATTACACAGGGTACGTAAAGCACAGACTAGAGGAAGGGGTAAGTAGTATTATTGCTGGGCATAAGTCCATCCTCCACCAGGAAACTCCAGTTGTTATCATTATCCTACCAAATGAAAAAAATATGCACAGAAAGAAAGAAGCGCATGGAGAGACAGAGTAGAGGTAAGGAAAAGCCTTGCATATACAAAAACCAGAAAAGCTTTAAGGGACATGCTAGCAATAAGAATGGCAGGATATTTGCAAGGTAATGAACCTTTTGCTCTTTTCCCCAATAAGACAGCACAGATCTCCCTACACCAAAGAATATCTAGCCAAAATCCACTTAAAGTGAAATTCAGGGCGCCACAAATGTAAAACTGCTTCTAAAGAACGGGTCATCAGGCGCTGGAAACTGCACCCACGTGAGAGCAGAGGTGACACCAACTTGAGAGTCACAGAAACCAAGGTATTTCTAGGGCTCCAGATCACATAGCAAACACCTCCATGTGGAGGGCTTCAAGGAAGACCTTGATGCTGCCTTCCGGCACCAAGCAAGCCATGGCAGGAGGGCTGCCTCCCTCCAAACAGGCATTGGTCCTCCACAGCATTTCTTGCTTCTTATTTTAAAGGTTCAGCCATTGTCAGGACAAGTACACCCTTGTCAGAAGAACCCTGACTTGACACAATCTGGCATTTTCCATCACTAAGGTAGCAAAGAAAATGTGTCTGCAGCTGAAAGAAAAAGCCATACCTTGTAAATGCAAAAGATGAACAAATCTGGAAGGGGACAAGAGTTCATTAAGAACCGGCTCACTGCAAGACAGCGCTTAGTTCTGCAGACTTTCTGGAGAGTTCTTTTTACACTTCTTTAAAACGTAAGTTACAATATGCCTGTGCTTTATTCTACAGAATACATTTGCTATCCGAATTGAACTCCTATGAAGACAAGGAAGCCTCCTTTTGTATAGCACAATAACAAGATTCCCTCCCACAATAAAAAGGTTTTAAGTTTTACTTTCTCATTAGCAACGTCAGCCAGCTCCACAAAGCTCTTCAGTTTGATTTCAAAGTCACTCATCAGCTTCCATTGATCTCCCTCAATTCCTACGCCAACCTTTTTAATTGTTTCATCTTCGAGCAGTCTTTTGAGTCCCTTGGGAAAACCTAAAATAGATTAAGCCCAGACATGAGATACTAAATACTGGAAGATGCTAGAAAGTCTAATGGAAATGACAAAATCCTAGCACAAAGGCCATCTGCAAAAGCCTGTGCTTTTAGAAGAAGAGCCCCCAAAGTCGCTCTGTTTACGTGACTGTTTGTACTCTGAAGTGACTGGGAACACCAGCCAGTTGCAATTTATCATCTGCAGACAAGCAGGAAAGAAATATTTGAAATAAGCAAATTCATTTTGCATCTGAAAACAAATCAAGTAAGAGTAACTTAAACAGCCTTATAACATTTGTCTCGCTAGTCATTAAACCACATAACAAAAAGGCAACCTCTAACTGGAAAAGATATTTTAATTCTCAGAAATGGATGCTCATGAAAGCAAATGCAGTATTATTTTACTATTTTGCACATTATTTCTTCCCAGCTTTTGCCATTTCAAACTCCCAGGAAACAGTTTAAACCTTAAGCATGGGGAAATCGCCAGGAAGACAGATTCTGTGGAGGCATACTCAGTGCTAACGCTGGGCCGGTCCAACAATAGCATTTGTAAAACAGAAGTCACCAACCAAATCCTCCACCAAGCCCAGACAAGGCAGTCTCCTAAGTGAGAAAAAAATATTCAAGGATGTACACAGACGCTAAGGATTCTATTTTGATTTATCCCAAACTGATGGCACAGCAATCCCAGATCAAAGGGTATTTTCAAGTTTACAGGACTGAATAAAAGCATGCAGATTTCATATCTGGTTTTCCACGGGAGGTAACAGACACAGACACTTCATGCTTGAACGAAAGCAGCCTTTTTTCTCCCCTGTTTCCACTCAAAATTTAGAGCATCTTATTTAAATACATACCTTCAGGAACCCACAGCTGGATACCCTGAATTCATCGCAAGTGCAATTCTAGTACCTACAAACACGCAGCATTGCACAACCACATAGTACTTAATATACGGCTCTGTTCCGATTTCAGATTTCACCTTTTTGCTACTGTAATACATTCCTATACTTCAACAATCACTTTACATCACTATATTTTTTTTTTTTTTTTTTTTTTTTTTTTTTACACAGCCATCTCCACACTTGCATGGCTACCACTGACACGGCATAAAGACACTTTTGCGGCTATAGCCACAATGAGCCGCGTTGTAGACTGTGAAGCTGCGGGTCCAAATCAATGCATTAGAAAGTTACTGTTAAAACACCACAAAACTGTAGTCGCCCAGTGCTGTGAGATGCAGACAAAGTACAACATGGCCAAATCACCTCAGCCATAACACGACATACAGCATCCTCTGTAGAGGAGGTAAATACGATTGAGCTAAACAAAAGCCTGCAACACATGCAGCTGACTTACTGAACAAGTGATTTTCACATACGAATAACATCATGAAAGCCTTCAAGGACAGGAACTTCCCAGTAGAGGACTTGTGCTCCCTTTCCACTACCTCATTTCTAGCAAAGTGACTGTATGAACTAACAAGGTCTAAGTTGAAGACTATACAAAGGCTGCAGTCTGAGAAACAGGCCGCATTTTCTTACAAGTTTATAAGGAAAAAAAGAAAATTATCAATAATCTTCCTGATAAATTTACGTAATTTTTGTCCTTTATATACAGGCCAAGAGCCCTCCACTCCCTCCCTCCTGCAGAAGGAAGCGTTTTCTCTGCAACAAGAAATGAGTCTCACCTAACCAGCAAATTCTGCAAACATCTACATTTCTGTAGATCAAATACATCCTGCATAATAAGCAGAAATTGGCTGTGGTTCCTGGAAAAAGGTTGACATCTCACTCAGTTCAAAGTGCATCTCCCATTAGCAAGAACAAAAATTACAGAAAATTATTCAGGAGGAAACACCACCTTCTGCTGTAACACAGCAGCCCGCATGCAACCATACTCGGCATCACGCCAACATTTTCACTTTTAGAATCAAAAGCATTTCAGCTCTTTATGCCTCTTCTTCCCTCAGCTTCCTTTCCTCAAATCTTTTTCTTTTGTGCACTTGTACCTTTCTGCTTCCCGGATTGAATAGCCTCCAGCAATTAAATTTTCCACCCCATTTGCTATAAATGACAAAGGATTGAACACCAACATTAAAATTATCGCTATTATACCTCAGCATGCGCACCCCAGGGAAATCAGAGACATCTCGCAGGCATAGTTTCAATCTAACATTCAAACCAAAGGTTATAAAATTGCAGTCTCCTTCCCTCGTTCCTATTTTCCCTATTTGGAAGCTTTTATTCACATCCGTAATGAATTCAGACTATGTGGAGCACACTCCTTTCTCTCCCCACAGCTGCATCACACCAGGTATCCAGTATTCTTTCTGAAAACCAATGTCACAAAATGCAGGTATTGGGAACAAACAGCACGATGGCCATCATTTTTGAGGGTTTTTGTTATTGAAGCCAAATTAAAATGAAACACAGCCTGCTAAATTTAGGTTCGTTGTTTATTTTGGCACTAAATAGGAAGCTCATTATAGGGGCAGGGAATTAAGTTTTTTAAATGGAATTAAGATAGTATCTCCCAGAGAGACAAATAATCCTCAGTAACATTCTTTTGCCCTGTTCAGCACTTAAAATGCTGTACACCAGCACACAGGGCAAGACATGGGCTAAGCTCCCCTAGATATACATACGCACTACTCAAAGAATAAATCCCTTTAATACAGGCAGGAAAGGGGAGAAGAAGGATGGATTTTTACTATCCAACACAGTGTGAAATATCAGCTATGGCTCACGGCTTAAGTTCTAACCTAATCACAGGAAACAGAGGGCAACTCAGGTCCTAATTAATAAGAAAAAGAGGATACAGTACCTGACATGGAAGAGATGTGAAACAAATAACACTTCTCCTCAGTTACACATATCTGGATTACAGCTATTTTTGCCATTTTTCCTTTCATATACGATGGTGGCCATTCAATATCAAATCCAACAGCAGCCCCATCTGATAAACTCTGCCTGAAAAGAAATGGATGTTCTTCACATTTAACTGTTCTTCAACCAGTTATTTTAAGTGTCAAGCTTAATTTATTTAAAACGTCAATCTTAAAGACAATTAAGTGGATCACAGCCAGTGCATCTTTCACATGTACAGGGCAGAAACGACTTTAAAATCAAGACCGTAAGGAGGTA